TTCGTGACTGTCAAAACAATAATTAGACTAAGTATCATAATATGGAGCATTCAAAATAGGCCTGTATTTCTCGTAACTGGGGACGTCTCCATAGTCCGAAGTACCATTGGTGCGACGTCCCATTGGTCCGAAGTCCCATTGGTCCGAAGTCCCATTGGTCCGAAGTCCCATTGGTCCGAAGTCTCATCGGTCCGAAGTCTCATTGGTCCAATGCCCCATAGGATTAGAGTTAGGGTTAGCCGGTTAGGGTCAGTCAACCTGAACAAGTTGAACTACACAGTATTATGTTTCGTTTGACCAATGGGACTTCGGACCAATGGGACTTCGGACCAATGGGACTGCAGACTACCGAGACTTAACCCTCGTAATTATTGTATTTTTTGTCCGGTCGGGAAAGGAAAAACGGAGCAGTCATGGGCAAATCTTGCTTTGAGGAAACGGTAGGAGGGGAGGGTGATGTGAAAAGGGTGTGTGTGTGGGGGGGGGGGGCTAAGTTAAGGCTTAGGAGATGGTCCGGGGGAACTTCCTCCAGAAAATGTTGAAATATACAGTGTTTTCTCTTAGTTAGTTGAAAGGCAATTCGGGTATAAAGTGAGGACGTTTGATAACATTTGTTCTTTTGGCTCCATTGTACTAGTATCATGACATCAGTGGTTGAATGGGGGGGGGGGTTGAATCCCTGCCCCCTGTATCCGTCACTGACAGCGCGAAGAGTGAATTGTTAAGTTCCAATGTCAATACTGATGAAATGTAAACTCTAAAAAAAAAATCCCACCTCATTCGTGTTTTCGCTATTCTAAGTCTTTCACAAATACCAGGTTATAAAAAAACCTACTTGACAACTTAAGACAATTACTGTCGACAGACCTCATGCGTAGCGGCCATCTTAGATAGCAATATCGTTGTTTTGTTTATGCATGAGCGAACCTGTTGTGTATTCATGTTACTGTGTTACTAAATTAAAATTACACAAGACAAGGTCTATTTTGCAAACAAAGCTATCAACCGTACTAAATTAACGCTTCTACAGAAAATAAATTGAAGATATATATTCAGCAAAGATAATGTTTCCAAAAGAAACATTCTCAGCAAGATATAATTTGTATCCATTTGTGAACACACCTTTTCGCCACTTCGTAGATTTCTAAATTTTTAGTTCCCGGCCCTCTTGTTTTACCTTAAGCTGGGTACTAGCAACAAGAATAATGATGTAAACAAAGATACAAACCGAGTTAAACTAACAGAAACTTCCGACATGCGTATTTCAATGTATGGCGACGATTCCATCGGCAAACTATAGTCGCTGCTCGCTAATAATTTATGTCCCGTTGCATTCTTCATACATACATAACTGTCCAAACAATTAGACTAAGTATCATCCTATATGAAACATTCAAAATAGGCGTCGATTCGTAGTCATTTTTCCTGGTTGGTGAAAGGAAAAATGGAGTAGTCAGGGACGAATATTGCTTTCATGAACCGGGCGAGAGGGGGGGGTGTGATGTCAAGTTGAGAGGGGGAGGAGGGGGGGGGGGCTGAGTGATAGGCTCTGGAGGAGGTCCGCGGAATTCCCACAGAAAATGTTGAAATCTACGGCGCTTTCTCCTGCGTTCGAAGGAAATTTAGGAATAAAGTTGGGACGTTTGCTGAACGAGTGGGTGGGACGGTTGAAACCCCCGCCCTGTATCCGCCACTGACAATGCAAAGTGATTTGTACCCTGGTCATAAGATTTAGAAGAAACTCCAATGTATTCAATACCTATAAACTGCAGACTCAAAATAACGAGACACATATTTTCCACCTCATCGTTTTATTCTCTATTCTAAATCTTTCACAATAACCATGTTAAAGATCAACTTGACACCCTCGGAAAATGATAACTGTGATTAAAACTCAAGCGCTATTTGTTTCTACAAATTAATATGAATCCTACGTGTGGCTCATCCTGGGCAATTGCACATTGGCGGCTGTCATGCACTAACAGAAAACTAATAATGAATACGTAATACAAATATTAAGTCAAATGCTCTCACTCCTATTTCTGGGTATTAGATGACGCTCTCATGATGTACATACAAAAGTACCGTCAGAGCCTAGTAAAGTCTCGTTACAATTGCTGTAAGTGTAACTTTAGGTAATGTCACCATTTCCATGGGGAAACAAATCCCTCAAACCCACTTAGTTCTAATTATAACGAAATTAGCATGATTGTTAAGACGATTACAGCTAATATGCGTAGCAGCCATCTTGGAGGACAATGTCTTTGTTTTTGCTTGAATATGCATGAGTGAATCTTTTATGCATTCATTGTTACTGAATAAAAAAAAATGCTCTTTCAGATGGCTGCAACGCATAAGGTCTATTTTGCAAACAAAACTATCAACCGTGCTAAATGAAAACTCGAACAAAAAATAACGACACAATTCGCCACATCGTAATTTTCTAAAACTATAATTGTGTATACATCATTTTATAAGAAGATAAAACTAGACTTACTATGAGTGAAATGTTTGAAAACGCAGTTCTGTATTTATATCTCAATGAGCTTTTCTTTCAATCTTCTGATTTCTATTTTCAAGGGTGTTTGGATACCTTATTGATTTTTGTATGCTATGTTTCCTATGCATTATACATGAGCAAACCGTTTGATCTGTCAACTCAAAGAATCACAATTATACTAGCGATTACAATTTCATTAATCAATGAACGGTGAAGTGTATCAGCATGACACAAAATGAATGACAAAAAACGAACTTGCTTCGTCAATTCCACGCCGATTGCTCCACGAGACGAATTTCAGAGATTTTGGACGAATCGGTATGCTAAAAATTTGAATTATACTAAACCTTAAATGAAATCTAGAGGTGACTTTTTGAAATTCGAATTGAGAAGTGAGCTGGGCGATGATTGAGGACGAAATTAAAGTAGCGATATAGGGAATTCGTGTGATACATGTGTCAAAATAGCTGGGAAAACCTATATTTAAAATGGTAATTGGCTAATCTACCCAAAATTGAAAAGAAATTAAAAGATGAAGTACAAGACAATAATTTAATTTTTGTTTGAGAAACCCAGTGATGTCGGCTTGCATGTTATTTGGCCCTGAACTTTGTTGATTTTACACTGTTTTCAATGGGGCTTGAATTGGTTCAGTGCACCCTAGAATGTCAAAGTAAATACAGTGTAGCGCATTAATACAATTAATAATCATATAATGTACATGCTTTGCTCTACACTGTACACTTTATTGAACTTATTTATCTAACCTTCTTCAACCCCTTCATAATTATAATTAAAACTTTTATTTTTATTTTTAGATCTTTATTTTTTATTTTTTTATTGTAAGACTGTAATTTTTGTTCATTTATTTAACTATTTATTTAAAGAAATTTAAAATGCAATATTTACTCACTTATCTAATTAATTAATTAATTAGGCTAACTTACCAACTTGTCTAATTATTTATTTATCTATTAGAAGTAGTAGTAGTAGGACATGTAGTAGAACTAGTAGTTGAAGTACAATGTATATATTAATTTGTTTATTCATTTAATTTACCTGGTAATTGGGTTTTTTTTTAATTGCTTTTGATTTGTTTGTCTAATAATTATATAATTTACCAACCTTGTTCTTAACTTAATGTAACTTTATTTGACTTTTTTTGTATAGTTAAAACTTCTTTTTATATTTATTACTTGTTGTTTTCACGTATGCCAGTCAGTTTGGAGAACCCCTAGACAGAAACAATGTTTCTTTTGGGCAATCCTTCGGGAGCTGAATGGTATTTTGTTTTTGTTTGTTTGTTTATGTATCTAAAGCTTTTTTGTGTGTTGTAACTTTAGTCATTTGTTTGCATGTGTTTGTTGATTTATTCCCGAGAAATAAAATAGTATAGTAATGTGAATGTCAAAGTTTAACACATGGCTGGACAGTGACTGTACTGTGTACATGCGCTACTCACGAGTATACAACTACAATGCAACGAATCATGTTTGTCTCACAGTCACGGAAATACCACAATTTCTCTCACAAAACGATAAAATGACACAGCAATACTCATTGGGAAGTTTCTTTAAGATCTTTCTCCGCACAGTGGTATAACTCAAAACCGACAGCATTTTCTAGACAAAATATATGTTGGTCTTCTCCGTTCGAAGCCCACAGAGGAAAACTTGTTACAAGTTGCCTTTGCGCAGGAAGCACAAAGGTCACACTATGCAAATCACCTTGCCAAACTTTTGGACGAACAACAACTGACGGTGCACTTGGTCTCGCTACAGTATGTTTGACGTTGTGGTCCAATGGTTAGGGTGTTTGACTCGTGTGCCGTGGCACACGGGTTCAAATCCTGACCGTGGGAACATGGTGCTTGTGCTCTTGAGCAAGGCATTTTACCATTATTGCTTCGTCCTTCGGATGGGACGTAAAGTCGTAGGTCCCGTGTGTTGTGTAATGCACGTTAGAGAACCCAGTAACACTTGTCGCTAAGAGGAGGAGGGGTTTGCCCCGGTGTTTCTTGCAGTGGCAGCAATTATGCGCCGCAGCACCTCGCAAAAAGGCGCTTCATAATGGGTCTCATATGTTCATTTACTTCATTTACCTGGCTTTGGGTCTCATATGTTCATATACTTCATTTACCTGGCTTTTAGTTGCATTCTTCCACAGCGCTTTGTATCCTCTGGCAAAAAGCGCTATATAAATACAGTTATTATTATTATTATCAAGACGTTATTAAAAACACATGATTAGTTTTAAAACACAAACAGTTGAAGCAGCTAGTGTTTGTCCACAAACACATTTCTAATTTACTCGTTACTGGGGTAATAGCTAACAGAATATGACGTAACAAAGATATACACGGAATTAAACTAACAGAAACATCCAACATGCGTATTTCGATGTACGCTGACGATTCCTAATTTATGCCCCGTTGCATTCTTAACCAGCTCAACTGTGGTATTCCACCAAGGAGTTTGAGGTGATGACAGAATTATCTGCGTCAAGCATCTGGACTTATCTTCACGGCGAAGACAACTGTAAATTAAAAGCAAACCGAAAACGGGTCGTTTAGAAAATTATTCACATTTCAATGCGGATTTTCATGATCGCACCTCCGAATTTAGACCCAAGAAGCTTGGACAATACGTCTTTCAAAAACCACGGCCAAGCAGGAAAAAACAGGTTTTGACTCGGGGTTTTCCGTCTTGTCTGCGCCTTTTGACATTTTGCTCAGTCATAGTAGCACCAGCCTATTTATAAAGAGAGCATACGAATATTTCCCCGTAACGCCAATGCAAGGGCTCAAACCGAACGGGAGTTTGATTGGAGGCTAACCCAGCGCCCTCTTTATGCATTAAAATGAACACATGCATGCTCCTCCTCCTTCTCCTTCCCCCAAAAGTTACATTTATTATAATAGCCAGTGGAGGATCTACATGGATGCTAGGGGGTCTAAGCCCTACCCTTTTGACCGTAAGATAGAAAAAATTATGCAGCAAAAAGTAGCAAATGCCTGTTAACACGGGGCCCTCTCATAAGTCAGACGCCTCATAGGTCCGACGCCTCCGTCATAAGTCCGACTGAATCGCATCCCCCAACCAAATAAAGGCCCATAAGTCCGACGCCTCACCAGTCCGACACCTCATAGGTCCGACGCCTCATAGCTCCGACGCCTCGTAAGTCTGACAAATTAAACGCCTCGTTTTTCCGATGTCGGACTTATGAGGCGTAGGACTTATAAGGCGTCGGACTAATGAGGCGTCGGACCTATGAGGTGTTGGACTAATGATGCGGCCCTGTTAACACCCCCCCCCCCCCGCCTTGAAAGCTAACCCCCTTGATCTGGATTCGCCCCCGATAGCCACTCAGATTTGATTGAATATAACTTTGTGAGTTCTGAGCCCAGCTCTTCTCTTGCCCTGTCTTGTTTTCAGTTAACGTGCCCGCTGCACGTGAGCTATAGATTAAGCTACTTACCTAAGGCTGCCTCAATGAGAACAAGCTTAGCTATTGGAGAAACCTGCTCTCTGTCGGGTATGTTGTATCGAAAAAAATTCCATATATTCAGAACCATCTCAACTCCTCGAGAAATCTGCACACTGTGGGGTATGTTGTATCGAAGAAAATTCCATATATTCAGAATCATCTCAACTCCTGGAGGAATCTGCTCACTGTGGGGTCTGTTATACCGACAAAGATTCACGAAGTGCTCGCAATTACTGCTGAGGAGCCTGTAATCTATCGGCGTTTTGTCACGGTGCATCTTTTTTGCTTCTTCAATCAAGTCGTCGGGATCCAAAGGCTCTACTTGATTATCTCTTGAGTTGTTGATCCTCACCTTGTCACCGTCGAGAATCCTCCCAATGGCATCAGCTAGTATTTCAGGCTTTTGACTGGCAGAGGATGCACTGCCTGATGTCTTCTTTTTGGAGAATGCCGCCCCTCCTTCGAATATACCGAAGTGGACGACAGCGTGTTCCATCCATTTGTATCTACCGACGTATATACCCCAGTGTGCGTAAAGACCATTGCGGTCGAACTCCAGCCTATCGCCGAGGCATAGTCTTTCTTCCAAGTCTACGATATCCCCAAAGGCATACCATTTACTCACAAACGCAAAATTGTTGTTGCTTGGCATGTCTCCTTCCTGTTATAAGGTGGTTCAGTATTTGCAAGATGAGGAAAAAATGACGACTTTCACCCAACGTTGTGTTCAGTGCTGCTGAGAAATGGGAATTTCCAGTCACCTATATCGTCTACCTTTCACACTGCAGTTACGCAGATAAAAAAAACCTGTCCACGCGTGTTCCATCACAATAGGTGGGCGTTTGTATTTACTAACAGGGGTGGCAGGGTCGTAGCAAAATCTTTTTTTTTATTGGGGGGGGGGGGGGGTTCTTGAAACGGGCACTCGCACATCCATCCTGAAATGAAGACACTTTTTTTTCTTCCGGACACTTGGCTTCCTTACAATCAAACAGTTGGCGGGGGTTGGGGGGGGGGGTATATATAGTTGGTATAATTTTCAGATGGGGGGCACTGTTCAAAACAGACGGTCATGCACACTAATGGGCAACATATGGCGCTTTTCAGAGCGACACATGCGCGAAACTAAAAAAAAGAAGGGCACTCGTAACCGCCCGCTGCCACAATAAGGACACGACTTTTTGGGGTAAAAAAAGGCACTTGTTCGAAAAAAGGGCACTCGTTAAAAAAAGTAAGGGGGGGGGGGAACTCTGGTGAAAACGGGCACTTGAATGGAAAAAAAAACAGTCTTTATAAAATATGGGGGCGGTAAATACCCGCCCCCTTAACACCCCCCCCCCTCCCCACCCCGCTGGCTACGCCTGTTATGGGTGGGTGTTGGATTAGGTCCTTATGCGAACTCAAAAACAGGTGGATCAGTCTGAACACGAGGGGACGAGGAAGTGATCTCTAAATTTTGGTCATGTTCATCCTCATATTTAGCTCAATGTAAAATACCTATTCCATGCAGCCGGATTTAGTCCATTCACTGGCAAATTGGGATAATCCAATTTCTCCTTTCCCTCTTTTTATGTCGTAGCCAAAGTTCACGATTTTGTTTTCAAGGCGATGGGTGGATAATAATGTAAGAGTTGGATTAGGAAAACCCTCATGGAAATAATAAAACTGAAGGAAAAAGTAATTCGGGTCCAAGTCCACAGAAACTTTCGCTCTAAAACTATATATACTTCTGAAGAAAACAAAATAAACATACCATTATCATTTGATTACTCTAAAGATGTACGCATAAAGTCAATTAAAAGGGCGTTTGGATGTCTTGGTTTATTTACGCTATAATGGCATGCATATTCATGTCCCATAACTATGATGTCATTCAAGGCTGAATTTCCGGTAACTTTGTTCTGGGTTTTTGTTTTGAGTGATTTACTGTAGGTTCAGTGATAGCAATTCAATAAGCAATCCCTTTTAAGGTAATGTTCTCAATTCGTAATTTTGAACAGAAAACCAATAAATTGAAGAGTGCACTCGAGTGTGCGCCTAAATTGACATCACAGAACGTGGTCTCTGTTGTCAGGAAAAGCATGATACAATTTTAGTATTCACTATGTAACAAAAAAGTAATAAGTATCACTTTTAACAAAAAAGAAAAGGTTTAACTTTGGAAATAGTATTATCCAATGGATAGACACATTATATACAAATATATACAAAACACCATTGTCAAAACAGATACATGTCCGGAGAGATTTTTTTTGTAACAAGAGGTCCTCTCCCTTTTTACTTGTCACTGAAGCACTATCTAACAAAGACTAGTATGTATAAGCTGTGATTGTGATCCTTTAGTTCTCACTCTAGTTATTATGCTTCTGTAGTTTTTGTTTCAGCGTTATATAGGTTTTCTCGGTCAATTTCGGCAAATGAGCAGCCAATTTAATTTTCGTGTGTTCGAATTGAAGCTATTTTGCCTCTCCAGTTGTTACTGCGTTTCAAATTCAGAATTCGGCCATTCAATTTCGTTTTGAGGCATTCAAATTCCTTTTGCACTGTGTTCAATTTAGCATATCGTCATTCTTTTTTGTGACACACAATCATCATTCAATTTAGCAAAGCTGGTTCGACTGGAGATTTTACTGACTTATTTTTTTTCAATTTCGTAAAGAGGCAATCAATTTCGCTTAAAGAGAATTCAAATAAGTACGACTAAAGAAATACGAATAAACAGATAAACTGTACTAGGCAACTGTTTCGTATCTTCACTTTAATTCAGGCAAACCTTGTTTTCTTTATTTATGCTTCCAGTAGACTTTACATGGGGTCAATGAGGTTTTTTCTTCTTCTTTGTTTTCTTCTTCATTTCTTTTTTTTTTGGGGGGGGGATCTTTATTGGTTAACTGACCAAGACCTAATTTTGTATTGTTTTTGAATGGGGTGTTTCTTTATGTTTTTCCTGGTTTTTTATTGTTTATGTTGTTTCTTCCTCAACCATCAATCTGTTGGCGTGCCAGACATCTTGGCATATATGTTTGGGTATGGTTGTACCACTGCATGCACTTCACTTGGGTGATGACATCAACGCTCTGGATGGCTGCTTGTTGAAGGAGATCGCACCTCCACTGCTGCATGTTCATTCCTGCTTGCTGGGCAGCCTGTCTGTCTCCGACACGTTGTTGCCACTCAGGTAACCCAAGGATGCGTTTAACTGCAGCCTTGAATGCAGAGTGTGCCATCTCCGTGTTGTTCAGGAATGGGGAGTAGGGAGGGAGGCGCTTCAGCTGGATCATTGGGTTGGCACCTTCAGGGAGTTGGGCTCGCACGTGAGGCCTCGCATTGTCGTATATGAGGTAAATGGGTTCGTCGTCTGGGAAAACTGCATCACACTCTTGAATTGTGTCCGCAAGAAACTCCTCGAATCTCTCTCGCGTCACAGTTTCGAATGCGATTCGGTGGTGCACCAAGCCTACTTCACTAGAAACAGCGAAGGTGACATTGCAATTTCTCCCTCGTTGTCTGTCGACGACTCGTCTTGCAGCGATCCCTCGTGGAGCTCTACCCTGGGAGCGTCGAGTTCAGACGTTATAACCTGTCTCGTCAATGAAGACTAGATGCGCCATGATGCTGCAGGAACCACTCACCATACTGGACGCGTTGATCAAGAACTTCAGGGGAATTTCTTGCATCAGGGACGTCCTTCACTAGTTTCAGTGTAATCATCATCCCATCCAAGGCCCTGGCTATGGTGGCAGTAGAAACCTGGGGCTTTTCTGGCAGATGCTCACTCAAACTAGCCTTCATTTGTTGAAGTGTCAAGACGGGATTAGCGTCAAGGATGCCTTGCAGATGGTTTCGCATGTCATCATCCATCTGTCTGTGGGTTGCTCCTCCTCTTGCCAGCGTCTCTCGCCTTCCAGTCCTCATATATGTTGCAACAGTTGATCTGGCTGTGGACTTGTTGATGTTCAAATTGACCGCAAGCTCAAGGTAGTCTTGCTCGTTTCCCTCGAAGGCCTCAATCAACCTTTCTCGATCTACCTGGGCCACTCTAGCGTAGCGACCACGAGCTGCCATTTCTAGAAATATGCGTGTAAAACTGTAGCGAAAGCTGTCTTCGAAGTACATCGGCAAAGTGACTCAAGTGCCAAAAAGTGAACCGTATTTATGCCTTCAACATTGTTAAGGAAACAAAAATTGAACAAAGCGTTTTTTAGATTGCACAAATTCCAGAAATGACTGCCCAAAAATGAATTTGAACGACTAAACACACGCCTCAAAAAGCTCCTGCGAATTTGAATGCTGCTTTGTTGAATTGTTAAATTGCATGATTATTTTGTTAAATCGAATGACGCAACAGTACATTTGACTGGTCATAAAACGAAATCGAATGACCCTTTTCAGTAGCATTTGATTTCGCGCGAAATAGAATAGCGAAGTGGTTAAATTGGCTGCTCATTTGCCGAAATTGACCGAGAAAACCTATACTATATTTACCCTTATTTACAACATGTATCTAAATGCTCAATTGTCAATTTTAGATTATGACCTTTCATCACTGAACTGACGAGGTTTTTTTTATCACTTTAGTTTAAATGTACCTTTTTTTATGTGCCACATGTACTATAGATTGTGTTATATGCCCTGCATGTAATCCTAACGACACCACTCGGCTCTTCAATTCTCGTCGAACCACTGGCAAATTAATAGTGTCGCTGTTCGCTAATAATTCGGCGCGTCATTCTCCGTGGCATTCTATCTACCAGGCCAACTGTTGAACTCCAGGAAAAGTACGGTAGTTGAAACGACCAAATAATCTGCGTTGAGTGTAGGGCCTTATTATCGCTGTGAAGAGAGATGTAAAGATAAGAGACAATCAAAGCGAATTGCTAGAAAATTGCTCAAAACGCTTCACATTTTATTGCGGATCTTCATGATTTTCTAAATTTTCAAATTTAGACCAAAATAGCACGAACAGTAAATGTTTTGACCCCCAAATGTCCGTCTTGTGTCGCACCTGTAATTGGCTCCTCCTAACGCGTTGGGTGCTGGGACTTGTTATCCTGGGGAGCAAAGCTGTAAATAAAAAACAAATATGGATTTACTAGAAATTTGAAATTTGGATTCGCACTCTGTTACGGGCCTTCATGCTCCTCAAGCCTTACGAATTTAGTCCCATTTTGTCCAGTGTTTTTTCTTTCTTTTTTTGATAAATAAAATCAAGCACCGCGTTTCAATAACTTTAACAAAAATGTCGTATTTCTGCAATAGATGTTTTTGTTTGTTTATTGGTCGTATATTTCTTTATTTTTTGTTTTGTTTTTGAAATCAAAACATACTGATTAAGTGGAAGGCAGGTTTTTCAACGGAAACCTAGCTTTAAGTTTCATCGAAAAAGTACATCTACTAAGCTGAAGACTCGAAGAGTTAGTTTCTAAAATTCTGCTACATATTTGTTTGTATCGATGTATACATTTTTTTTTTTTTGGGGGGGGGAGTGTTGATTAACTTAAATTATTGACTCCTTGCACGTGTATCAGTAAGCTAGCTTTAGGTACTCACGTATGATATATGAAACCTGCGGCTGTCCTGAACAAACGCTTGAGACAAACCTGCTCACTGTGGGGTGTACCGTACCGACAACGATTCACAAAGTGCTCGCAGTTGTTCCCATACAGATTATAAGCAGTCGGCGTTTTGTCTCGGAGATTTGACTTTGTTTTTTCAATGATGTCGTTGGGCCTCAAAGGCTCTACTTCGTTGTCTCTGGTGTTGTTGATCCTCACCTCCCCAGAACCGCCGAGAATCTTCCCAATCGTGTCAGCTCGTATCTCTGGCTTCTGACTGGCAGCAAACGCTCTGCCTGATTTCTTCTTTTTGGGGCATTCCAGCCCTTTTTCGAACACACCGAAATGGACGACAGCGTGCCTCATCCCTTGGAATCGACCGACGTACATACCCCAGTGTGCGTACAGACCGCGGTTAAACTCCAGCCTATCACCGACGCCTAGTTTTCTTTCCACGTCTTTGATATCCTCAGAGGTATGCCTACAGTCCCATAATTGTTGTTGTTCCCCATGTTTCCTGCCTGTCGAATGGCGGTTCAGTATTTGTAAGACAAGGTAATCTAACGCTTGCATAATCACGCGAAAGGCCCAAATTTGTGTTCAACGTTTCTCAGAATACTCGAGAAAGTGGGCATTGTCATTAGACTGGTTCCGGCTCCCTCCGTTAGACTGGTTGTAGTGGAATAGATGTAAATGTACATGTACTTGTTTCTGGCGGAAAGCCGTCGGTGTTCCGCATCGCCGACTTTCAGTATTTACATGCGGTCGGTTCGATTAACTGGCAAGGTTGAGGCTGTATCTGCGAACTCGTTAAGTTACATGGTTATAAATTATCATTCTGAGCGCCTGAGAAATTTGGTTGGTTCCCTGAGTTGAATACATCTAGTACATTTTTTCAAGGGGTGGGGGGGGGGGAGGAGCTTGTAGCTGAACTTCAAGATTCGCTGTCAAGAGGATGGATGGATGAGATGTGATTCTGTAAATTGGATTTGGAACACCCTGATTTAAATAATGAAAGGAAGGAACAGGAACTCGGGCCGGTTTCAGCGTGTGTATTTGAAACCCCTTTCTCGAGTGATCGGCGAACAGAGTCCTTGGGTTGCCGTTTACGAAGAATTCAAGATGGCAGCCGCCGTATTAAAATACCGATTTAATGTGGAGGCCAGCTGGAGGGATGATGGGTGTGAATGAATAAATAAACACAACCACACCTAGGTTCGAGTCACTCCAAGGATGTTAATGCTGATGAAAGCGAGCGGTGCGCAGGCCAGCGGTAAAGGAGACAGCACGATGGGGAATCAATTAAACAATTACAAACAATGACAGAAAAGGGAGAAGAAAAAAAATTAAATCAGAAATGTAAATGTATCATCAATCCTGAGGGAGATCCTATTGTTCATAAAATATAAATATCTAAGAGAGCATTTAATTTATGAGAAAGAGTTGTCGAGGTGTGAGAGCACAATACCCACTAAAACTTAAACTGTAAATCTCTTCAAGAAACATAAATTTCATTGTAAAAAAAAAAAGAATTTCTAAATTGACAGTGATGACAGGAAATTAATTCAGTCTGCCATCAAACAGTCACAAATTAATTCGCACACTCCCCATCTCCTAGACTCATGTACTAGACTGCAAGAACAAAACAGCGCCCTCTGCAGGCTCTTTTTAACACATGTGGCATATTCTTGCCGCGGTATTTAATGAACAACAAATCAAACTTATTTAGTAATGATTAAACTGTCATCGAAGATTTTTAAAAGCGACACATGAATAGCAGACAGAACAGTCTCTGGTTCTTGTCGAACTCTAATGATGGGAGCGGAGTGGGACAACATTTTTTTTTGTAAACATGAGATGATATGATAATTTTGGTTGTATATAATTATGAACTACAGTACATTGTACATGCATACGGTTTGAACACTCATCTTCGACTTCAATTTATAAACCCCTCACTCTTGGACGGAAGTATGCTTTCTCATTATTGCGCGCGTCTTTTTTTTTTTGACATTCAAAGTCGAATTAAAGAGGGGTTAATTGATACTTCCAAGCAGATGAGACGATTCTTCTCGCACGGTAGCCCAGAGCGAGTCTCTTGATGGGTGCTACATACACCCGGATGCTCAGGATGGCACAGTACGTCAGCTGGAAGGCCCGTATTACAAACAACGAGCTCCACAGCAACCTGCCAAAAGTCTCGGAGAAGGTATAAAGTACAGACAATACCTTGGGCTGCGAGCAAGTCGGGTGATACTGTGGGAACCTAAGCACGGGAAACCAAGCAGAGGGAGGCCAATCAAGACCATGGTAAGGACGGTGAAGGATGATGCAGGGGTTGAGACAACGGATGAGCTCGAAGCTGCATGAGAAGTCGAGATGTTTGGCGTGTGCGTCATCGCATTTCGTCTCAAGCAGCCACTTGGGTCGACGGAGCAGTGAGTAATGAGTGATCATTAAACCAATGAAGGGACCATTTTGATTTTGATGGAAAGGTTCCGACCAGTTTTGCTGATGTAGACTGTGCCGAATTCACATGGAATTCGGTAAACTATATCGGCTTGGAGTAGGAGTGTGAAGGGTGCCTTGAAGCTTGTTACCTTATGAACACCTTGGCACCGGCTTCTGGGAGGTTGCGTTGGCAATGATGAAAGGCTGGACCTATGTAGTGAAAGGTGACTGAGGGAGATACAGTGGGAGAACCTTGGATATCGGAGCTGGACAAGCGGTTTGAATGCAGAGAATTCCACATTCAAAAGGGGGTTTGTGTACAATATTCTGAAATTACAGCGTTAACGATGGTCGGATTTGAACAGCCCCCTGCCCCCCCCCCCCCCCCCCACACACACACACCCACACCCACCCACCCAAGTTTACGTTACATACCAAGTGTGGACTTTCCATTGCTTTCGTGTAGTTAAGAAAAACCAGTGAAAAAAATCATTTTTCTCAAACTGTGAAAACTCTTTCAACCCAATTTTGTTTCTATGATTCCCTTTAGTGTTTCTCTTCATTCTGCTACAGATAAACCTAACCCAAAAATGCCTCTAAACCTGTTTTCCAGAAATGGGGAAACACTGTGTGGACTTGCCCAAGTCCGCACAGTGTCTTCTCTACCTGGTTTATGTGGACATCTTTTGTTCGGAAGTCCACACAGTGAATGTAATGCCTGTACACGCACCCACACACACCTATTGATTTTATGGAGGCCAAGTGTCCGGAGATAATTTTTTTTTTTTCATTTCAGCATATGATTTGCTGATGACACTCTCCCCTCCCCCCAAAAAATCCTGGGTCTGCCCTTGTCCATACCACGAGGCAAAAGGCGCAGCACAATCTATATATATAAGAGAGAGTTTAAGTCGGCCTCCGAGACGATGTTTGCTCATGAAAGGATCCGAGACCGCGGGTTCCCGCTGCGCCAAAATCGCGCCACGTCCGTGGAAAAATACGGAGGGTGTCTTCCGCCGGGTCGAACACTTCGGGTCGTCCTGATTTTCCCGTACGGACCGGCGATCCTTTTCGTCTATTTTTCGTGATGTATTTTGCACAGGAATTTGCCGTCGTGTGCGCTTTCACGTTGACTGCCTGGCCGCCCCCTGTGCTGGCTTTTCTGCGAGTCTAGACTGTGCGAGGTCAGCGAGGTCAACGTAGGGGTTTCGTTTACGTGTTCTACTCAGCCGTTCTGCAAAAGCGTTCAGCAAATTGTGGATGGGGTGACCTTGGTAAAATATTTTTTCTCCATGGTGCGTGGCCACCGAGTGCCCCTATTCTTTCATATGCTTCGCTTGCCGCCCCTGCGCCGAGTGCAACGAATACTCAGAAGGACTACACATTAAGTATGCCTTGCGCGGTCTGACCAATCGAAAGTCTACACTGCGTAGTATTTCCGGGCTATGCAAAACTGTCGATGGCAACGCGTACTGCAGCCTGCTCCACACCCTGGAAACGAGGTTGGGTCTACGGTGCTTGCTATTTGCATGATTTGAAGCACAAGCATGTGAGTGACGTGATAGTGCTCTGTTGCTTCCATCGTGTGTTAATACAGCTCCATGCTTCCACCAAGGCTGAGCGTTGTGAGTTCGCTGCCCGCCACAGTGTTGCGTTATAATTTCGGGGGCCTGTCTGGGATCAACGAAGGATCGATGCATTGCTTCAAACATCGCGATCTTAAACGCAGTCACACAAAAAATCAACGAAAATGTGTCCGATCCGGTGGAAGACACCCCCCACATTTTTCCACGGACGTGGAGCGATTTTGGCGTCGCAAAAGACCGCGGTCTCAGATCGTTTCAGGAGCAAACATTTCTCGGAGGCCGAGTACAATTTGCTCTTATATAGATGGTTGACCCAAGTTGAATAACAGTTGACTCGACAAGTTCCTCGCAGACAGTCTCGCAAATTGTAAGACGTTCAAGTTTACGTTTGTTGAAGAGTCCAATATACTGAAACTTAATTATGACCTTCTTAATCAGCCTTCGCCTGTATACTACGGCAAGCCTTTCAAATACGTTTTCTCACAAATGCCACTGCCTCACAAAATGCCAATTTAACAGACCAACGGTAACATTTACAGACTGTTGCCATGGTACATAATTATCATGGGCGTCAATCGGTGGGGACGGGGAACCCCTCCCCCCCCCCCCCCCCCCCCCATTTTAAAGCGGTGGAGACTTTTTTGGTCCCCCCCCCCACTTTTCTTCCCCGAATAAAAATTGTAGCTACTAAATGTATCTGAATGATTCTATTACTCAGAATAGCTGATTTAATGACACCAAACTCAAAAATGATGTTTAAAAGATTATTTTTTTTGCTAAAAAAATTGTTTTAGTGGTCAGAAATTGCCTCAGATCGCACCACAGAAATTGCTTTTCTATAACTGCACGTCTTCTCAACTAAATCCCCCAATTACATTCATCTCCCCACATTTTCATCCCCAACTCTACGCCCTACCCGATCAATGATCGGGTAAATCAACGAGGGATCGATGCATTGCTTCAAATATTGTGATCTTTGAACTATGTTGGGTTGGAATAACGAAGAGTGCATAAATAATAATATTGGCGGTTGTTGGCTGTTTGGCCTTGCTTATATTATGGTTGAACCATGCCAACCTGAATAAAATAGTTACATCGACTTTTTCCTCGCAGGTCTCGCAAATTGTAAGAAGTTCAAGTTTACGTTTGTTGAAGAGTCCAATACTGTACCTTCATAATGACCTTCCTCCATGATTCAGACTATGTAATTTTATGGTAACACACTCAACATTTTTATTGCAAATGCCACCTTCACGTTTTATTCCATTATGATTTATTGTCAAAACAGTACAATCAGCCTTCGCCTGTGTACTATACGGTAAGTCTTTCAACTCAGTTTTCCCACATTAACAAACGCGACTGCCTCACAAAATGCAATTTAACAGACCAACGGGAAAATTTACAGACAGTTATACATGCCATGGTACATAATTATCATGGGCGCAGCGTCAATCGGTGGGGGATGGGGGACCCCCACCCCAACATTTTAAAGCGGGCAATATCGTTTGGTTCCCTACCCCCACTTTTTCTTCCCCGAATAAAAATTGTAGCCTACTATAATATTCTTTTGCTCAGAACAGCTGATTCAATGACTCCAAACTCGAAAATGATGTTTAAAAGATGATCTTTTGTTTTACTATCGTACGTGGTCAGAAATTGCCTCAGATCGCGTCACCGTAAATTGCTTTTCTATAGCTACATGTCTTCTCAACTAAATCCCCCATTTACATTTAACTCCCCACACTTTCAACCCCAACACAAATACGCCCTACCCGATCTATGATCGGGTAAATCAGCTTGTAAGTATATACGGGCTTGCCCTGCGACCTACATCTTGCGAAAAGCAACCTTGATCGAACAATACGTGTCCATGCCTACATTGGGAAGAGTTTACTGACCGACTCCATAGTTACTCACAATAATACTGTCCGGCCAGCGCATTTGAAAGGTGTATAAAAGCATGTATATTGTGCACGTGCTGCCGTCTCATTCCGTAAATATCTGGTATATACTGCAGGCAAGCAAAATCGTCGGGGACTGTAACACCGCATAAGTACACACGTAAGTCCATGTATAAGCAATTATCGATAATTCTTATACTAAAATGTACTTCTATATTATTACATGTACAGGGTGAGTCAATAAAGCGAAACCAAATATGGGGACTATTGTTTAAGTGAAGTTCTGCATGTAGCACTTCGAAAATCTAGGACATGAAATCCCAATTCCTAAGCTTTCTTTTAGTGCAAGAATCATTCAAATCACTTATGTCCTTTTCAAATTATGGAACTTTAAACACAACCATCGTTTTAAAGTTCTGTCCCTGGATGACAAAAAAAGGACGGTGTGCGATCTTCCACTATGTGATTTGTTTTCGTTTTGCTGAAAGAGCGCTTACATTCTTGTGATCCGTGGACAGAACTTTAAAACTGTGGTTGTGTTTAAAACTCCGTAACTTGAAAAGTACATGAGTGATTTGAATGATTCTTGTACTTAAAGAAAGCCTATAAATTGGGCTTTTTTATCCTAGATTTTGAAAGGGCCAAATGCACAACTCCACTAAAACAATGGTCCCGATATTTGGGTTTCGCTTTTTTTTTTACTCACCATGTACATCCCCGTTTTTTGTCTGTATATGTTTTGTCAAGTTTAGCCCCTTTTTTTACGATTTAGAACATTCGGGTGGATGGAAAGTTTTAAAGAAGAAAATCGAACTGCTCGATAACCTGACAAAGGACAATCAGGCCAACGTTCATCCAGCAAACGACTAAAATGTTCTCATACGTTTCCACTCATGCAATATATAGGGCTTTTCGTTTTAAGTCAGTTTTCTTTTTACTGTTTTTCACCGGTGCCTTAAAAAAAAAAGAGGTACTATTGACAGTAATAAATAGAGAGCTGCATGTCCAATCTTGGTTCTTCTTAGTGGAGCTGGTGAGCTGATGTTTGGCTAGGAAATTCTGGGTCAATAGTTCGACCGATGTCGAAAGGGTCAGTACATACTATTTGAACACAACACTTGTGAAGTATGATATAATAAATACATTTTTACCCACATTATGTCGGAGTATTTACAACGAACTATCAAAACGGACCGCTCAAAAAGTCCCTTTCTTCGCTGAAGAGGCAATTAATGAGTCATTGTATGATTTTGTTTTGACTCGTAGAGGAATGTTGTTAAAATAATCAAGGTCTCAGTAAAACTTTATGTTTGTCGATTGTACGATCCTTCTTGAGCAACACCAAATTACTGTTTGGGTCGATTGTATGGTAGTTTGTATGTATTTTCTGGTACTGAATGTTTTCCCTTTCCCTATGTTGGGGGACCGTCACTAATGAGAGCATTCCGAACGGGATAATAGACGTTATCCTTGAAAGCAAGCTTTCTGGCTATGTGTTGTGATAAAGCGCTTTCTTACACTACCTCCCTCCACCACTGATTTCAAAATGAAATGTTTACGGACGTGACGGGCAGAGCCTATAGCTCGTGACCTTAGGAATACATTACATCTCTGGGGGAAAACGAATGCCTCTTTGACAAGAACTGTTTCGAAGTGTAGAGGATTATCCAAATGGGAGGAGGGGCTGTACGGTTGTAGTCCAGTGGTTGTGCGCTAGTGTGCGTTTGTTTATGGTGTGAATCGAGGACACATGCGCAACATCATCGGTGAATCGAGGACCGTGAGTTCGGTGTGGGGGGATGAATGCGTTGCAGTCAACGTATAATGACAACCAAAAAACATGCTCGGATGAGAACACCTGACCATAAGGAAAACAAGATCGAAAGTACTTAGCTAGGCATTGGAAGGATGCAAAACGCTTAATACAATACGCTCAATAATAGCCTGACCGAGGGAAACATATACCTTTTTCTCTTTTGGTTTCTAGATATTTCATAGGAACCATGAAAAAAACCACACTTGTTTTTCAAAGCAGATGAGTATGAAAGTCCCCCTTCTGTTGTGTCAAGCTGATGACGAATAGCGTGTTACCATTGGTTGCATCAACAAATACCCCAACAGCGATAAAATGGAACTTGACCGACGACTGTAATCCCCATCTGAGGCGTGTCGGTTATTTTCCTTCTCTTATAGTGGAAGGCCTAATCTCTATCAAAATCATTTGTATAGGCAAAGTTTGATTTTCGTTTGATAATTCTCGAACAGTTTTGTCGACAAATTCAAAAGGCCGAGACGGGCTACGTGCTGAGCCTGGCCGACCGTGGTTCACGAAATAGGGACCATTGTGGGCTCGCATAGGTGCCAAGGTAACGTGTGAAATGAACAGTAGGCCTATGCATTTTCATTTTTTTTAAATTCAGCTGGATCAAGTACGGTCAGATTCGTATATTTTCAGCCAGGTGGCAGTTTAATACCTGACGCACAATAATACAAGCGTCAAGGCATGGGAGAAGTGTCAGGTCAAAGAACCAAACTACAATCTTACAAGCGCTATGCATTGGAGGGATGCAAAACTCTTAATGATAGCCTGACCGAGGGAAAAATACACCGTTCCACATTGAACCATGAAAAAAAAAACACCTGTTTTTCAAAGCCATGTATGGAATTCCCCCCCCCCCCTCTTTATGGTGGTGTCAAGCTGATGACGAATAGCGTGTTACCATGGGTTGCATAAACATACGGCAACAGCGATAAAATGGAACTTGACCGACGACTGTACTCCGCATCTGAAGCGTGTTGGTTCCTTTCCTTCTCTAATATAGGTTTTCCCATCCAATTTCTTTTAGAATGCTCATTCACTTCTGAAAATCGGTCATTAATTTTCGTCTGAATTTCAGAATCGCTCTGAACACGCGTTTCATTTTCGCTACCAGAGCATTCGATTCCATTTCAGTTCAATCAATTAAGTAATTGAGCAGCACCTTTCGTTTATGGCCATTCAGATTCATTTACAAGACTTCTGTTTCGCTTTTAGAGGGCGATTTCAAACATTCACCATTCTATTTCACTTTTAGTTTAATGCGTTCGGCACCAGATACAATTAGGGGTTTCTTTTGCATTAACTGTCAATCAAAGTAGCTGTACCTGAAATCAATTTAGAAAAAAGATATGCCTACGTAAATGAATGCACAGGTAATGTAATTGGCCGTCTGTTTCTCAAAACCAAAATGCACGGGCAATGAAAACATTGAATTGAAATGGGATTAAAGACGTGCTTGTAAATTCAGACAAAAAGGAATGATCGATTTTCAAAAGTGAATGCAAAATTTCAGGAAATTGGCCGGGAAAACCTATATTTTCTCTTCAATGGAGTGAGGCTTCGTACACTGCAAAAACTGCAGTGTTAAATCTACACCATTGGTATCTATATAGGACCATCTGGTGTTAAATTTTACTGGTGTTGTCCTATATACCGAATGGTGTTAAATTAACACTACAGATTTTGCAGTGTATACGCGCAATAATGAGTGCATGATTGTGCTGCACACCAGTGTTGTTGGTATAGGCCCCATTTTTCAAAATTGATTGTAGGCAAAGTTTGATTTGTGTTTGATAATCAACGAACAAGCGGCTCAGTTTTGTCGACAAACTTAAAGGCCGAGACGGGCGATATGCGTGCTTTGAGCCTGACCGGCCGAGGTTCACGATATAGGGACCATTGTGGGCTTGCATGGGTACCAGTTAAGAAATGGAAAAAAAAACAAGAAAAGTTTCTGTTCCGGTTTTTTTTTGTTTTTTTTGGTTTTGTTTGCTGCCCACTTCCTCCTATTTTTTTTTTTTTTAGATTTATTTCTTGCAAAAATGTTTGGCAAGTACATTGTCCATATGCATGTATATTTATCAGTAATACATTTTTCCCCCAGCAAATGTAGCTATTTAAAGAAAGTGTTACGTTTCCTTTGGACACAATGTTATACCATGGAGCTATAAAGAGAGTATGGAAAATGGAACAACCGATCCGCCATTTTGAAAATCCGCCTTCTTCTGTAAACAAAAATCATCCAGCTCCCCCCTTTTTTTCTCTTTTTTTAAAACGCCTGGATGAGAAACTTTTTTTAACTTGGCTCTCATTCGCTTTGTCCATATTATGTCCCGGTCCACTGCGTTTTTTTGATTTTCTACTTCAAGACAATTTATAGAGTTCAGGTCTTGGTTGCGGTGTTTACATTTTGTTTGGGTTTTTGGTTATAAACGAGGCTTTTGTACAAGGGGCTGTTTGACAGTAGTTTTGGTTAAATAGTTGTGTTAGGCAGTGGCAGTCTAGGCAAAAAAGTGTGCACCTGACACTTCTGAAAGCATTTGCTTTTAAATCATTGGAATCTGCTCTCCAGAAGTCGTGAGTCAAAATTGTAAGTTTCATCTGGTGAACACTGGAAATCAGTTAATTATTAATGTGCAAAGAAATTTAGGAAACGGTCTTCAATATTTTCAAAGGAGCAATCTAAAGTTTAATCTAAACATTGAATCAATGTTTCATTCCAAAAATGCAGAAAAGCACGATGGGTGGCGGGGCCAGTGGACAGAAATCAAAGACGCACGATGATTCCGGGAAGAAACAGAACACGCAAAAATCGATGAGATCGCAGGGGCTTGTGGACAGCTACAAGCAGGATGTCTCGAAGGCGCTGGAGAAGTACCAGGTCCTCCGGGATCTGGACGTCTTTGTGCTAGACAACTCCATCCGTGAGAGCACCGTGGGGCAGCTGCGGGGCCACACCCTGGAGAGCAAGTGGCAGATCTACGAGGAGGTCAAGAAGTGCGGCTTCAAGAACACCATCGTTGCCTCCTTCTCGCACATGACTCGCGTTGACGACATCTTCATCAAGGAACTGAAGGAGAAAGGGGAGGATCCCGAAGGCCTGTGGGCTTTCTCTGAGATCACTGAAGGTACGCACTCCAAGTCACAAGTAATAGGTGACCATTAATGACTAAGGAATTTCATCTTTGTCACGGCTTATTCGAATATTGTGACTTGACTTGACTTTAGACTGAATGACTTTAGACTGATTGACTTGACGTTGCTTGTTGTGGCTTGTATAGTGACTTGTTTCGACTTGCACTACTACTGACTCGATTGAGCTACATCATAACAATTGTTAGACTCGTCGTTTACGATTAACATTGATGAAATGCAAAGGGGTCTTTTCTTTTTGGGAGACGGGGGAAGAGGGTTGGGTTGTGGACTTCAAGTCTGTAGCCTATAGGTTAAGTTACTTATTTTGCAAAAAGAAGCCTTTTAAGTTGAACTCCACAAGCACCCAAGTGCTTTGCAAATCAGACAGACTGAAGGATCAGTCAACTTAATGCAGCTATTATTCAAACGGTTTACCCGCACTGTAAAAATTTTGGGTAAGTAATTCGTTGGGCAAAATATAAACAACGCCATATGTATAGGCAGTTTTCCCCAATAGTTGAACATGTTAACTATTCGCCTATATCGTTGGTCGAATAATCAACCCATGTTGCCCATTCCAACTTTTGTTTTGTTTACCGTGTGACATATACAGGCTAAACCGTATAAAGGCTAAACCAAAAACTTTGTGTGGATACCTGGTCCAGCGAAGCGACTTTTTCACACTGTCGTCATGTTACACTCAAAGCTGAATGTATTCTTGCCAAAAAATAAACTGAGAGGTTCTAATTCTATTTCTAAATGGACTTTTGCGTTGGGTGCTTTAAATCAAATAAAGTTTTGCTCTTCACAGACGTATCAACACTGTATACTCAGTGTGTTACCTCCAGAGTGAAAGTTGGGGAAAAAAATCACTCGGTGGGACTCGAACCAACGACCTCCTTCTTTCTAGTGCAGATGTCTTACCACACGACCACCGAGCTAACGGAATCAGTGGGCTGGTTCGAATTTGATGTACATAGCAGCAGGTACAGCATAAACTCAGGTGATGATCAGGTTCTGATTCGAGATCTTTTCTTTACTGTCTTTTCAACAACCAGGTGCGAAAAACAGAGTACCAGACACGGAGAATGTTCCCGTTGGCATCCGAAAGCTGCAACCAGCCGGCCTGTACTCCGTGATCTTCGAGGTGGATCTGGGGGATGGGGTCTACGACTTCGACAACTTCTCCATCCAGGACCTGTGCGAGTTGCTCAACAAGTGGAACAACTGGTGCTTCGAGAACCTCAGCCCGAAGGCCAAGGTGATGTACAGCTTCCGTGACCTGCCGGACACCATGCCCGACCACTCCGACCGGGTGTTCGACGTGGTGTCCTACCTCGCCGACCTGCCGGCCGATCGGCGTCCCTTCGGTTTGATGTTCGAGGAGCCCCGAGGGAAGTCTCTGCCGGAGGAGTGTGGCATGTGGGCCAAGTACATCCGCAAAGTCATGACTGATCACGGCTGGAAGGGCCACCTGCTTGTTCACGTGCACGAGAAGTTCGGCTATTGCGATGCCACAGCTCTGCATGTGAGTAGAAGCAGTTGAAAGTATCTACTGACATGTCACGTTCCCAAAATAAAATGCAGCAATGAGCTCGCCAACTACATTGACAAGTACCAGCGTATAAATGAATCCTTTGTTTAGTTCGGAGCAAATTGTCCTGCGTTTTAGGTTGTGATATTGCCTTTAAATTCTATTCTACCAATATGAGAAGGGTTATAATCTACAGTGTGATATTTCTGGGCCTCATAAACACTGTGTTGTATAAAATAATAGTCCGATTCATACGACAATTATGAGTATAATGTTGTCATCAAAATCGACAAGATATTATAAATCAAGAGGATGTTACATGAACATCTTGCAATTTATCTTTGTCAAACTGATGCCTTGTTTTTGTGACATCAATTAAAGGGAATGTACAACATTTGCTTTTGCTGCAATTTTCAGACTTAAATGGATTTGGAGGATTAGTGTGTTGTAGAAAATATGCTTGTTTCACGTTTTGGGCTTGTGGATGCTGGAGAAACAAAGAAAACCAATCATGTTCTTGTAGTTTGGCTCACTTGAACCACTTAAATGAAACGGAGCAATTTACAGACTTTTGGGAAATGGGGATTTGTAAAAGGTCAGAGAATCAGTATAGCAGGTTTGTACCCCTTCGCATGTGTGTAATTGATTGCAAAGAAAATGCGGAATAACTAAATATAAAAAATTACGTGCAGTTTTTGAAAAAGCCAATTTTTGTGGAAAATGTCAGCACACCAGGGCCCATGATTTTACTGAGACCGTCATTCCCTAACAATCCAAAGGTATTTCGTGATAATTAGATCATTTCCGTTTTTGATGTTTGCAAATTTTATATCTTCCCTTTCATATTGTGCTCACCGATAGGTTCTCATGGACGGTGCCGACGGTATTTGGGCCAGTGTTTGCGCCGAGGGTGCCTCCATGGGCAACGCCCCGTCCTGCGTCACCCTGATAAATCTCATCCGCCTCGGCAACAAGAAGGTCCTGGACAAGTACAACTGCACCTACCTGAGAAAAGCCGCCATCAATGTGACCAAGATCAGCACGGGAAAAGACCCACACATCAAGCAGCCGGTCTTCGGTGCCCGAGCCACCGATTTCGTCTTCGGTCTGAAGCCTGAGGAGTTCGACCTGGCCAGCTTCTTCGGAGAGAAGGCTCCCGTGCGAATCACCACCATGGCCAGCAAGGAGATGATCCAGGCGCGCTTGATCAACCTCTTCGGGGAAGATCCACAGTTCACGCTGGAGCTGGCGCATGAGATGAAGGAACTCATTCTGGAAGACCTCCGAACTGGCAGGTTTGAAAAAAAAGAGTATTTTAAATCTTATTAGAAAAAAAAAGATTAGTCCTGAAGTTTACGCTACAGGTCTTTCCCTGTCTACGTAAAGAAGTAAAGAACGAAAGTACTGATCAATTTGCATATACATGATGCATGTATTTACCTTTTGAGGGTACTTTTACGTCGGTATAAAGATCTTCTTACGTCGAAGTCCATTTGACAGAGTCAAATCAAAAGAACTCTGGCACAGTGCGCCCTCATGGGGGACTGTTACAACTGATAATGTAGTAACCAACTGATAATGTATCACCAACCGATAATGTCACAAAAATTGACCGATACTGTATCACTAACCGATAATGTAACAGAAATTATCGGTTAAGACCGATAATGTAACAACAATCGACTGATAGTGTTGAACATTTTTACTACACTATCGGTCAATTTCTGTTACATTATCGGTTAGTGATACAGTATCGGTCAATGTGTGTGACATTATCGGTCGGTGTTACATTATCCGTTGGTTACTACATTATCAGTTGTAACAGGGACTTAAGTCTTCGTTCCATCCTCTCTGATGCGTTTGAGTAGGCTTCAGTGTTAACGTTGCCCCAAATGGGATGCTCTGTGCAGCGGGTCTGTCCGTCTCACCAAACTTTTTTTTTGGGGGGGGGGAGTGCAGCATTCTTGTGCTGCCTTCATGTACCAATGAAACTTCATTTTAATACTGAAGAAAGAAATTGACTTGAGCGGGATTTGAACCTCCGACCTCCCGATGGTCCGGTGCTCCACAAACTCAGTTATCCAGCCTTATGTCGGTGGTTCCCCCATTACATGTTTGCTTGCAGACAAAGTTTCCATTGATTTTAGCGCAGCCTCAATTCTTTTCAAATTACCCCCTTTTTTGTAAACTTTGCAGACGGGAAGAATACATGAGCATGTTGGGCCTGGCCATGCTCTTCGACCGAGCCGGGGGCAGTCTCAACCAGCAAATGAGAGACGCCATGGACGAGTTCCAGCTCAAGGGACCGCACGCAGCGAACCTCCTGGCTGAGGTCCGTAAGATCTGGGACGAGTGGGACCTCAAGGACAAGGTGCAGGGAGACGAGATGCTGCAGTTCGACTCCTTCTACAACGGCTTCATGGCGCCCTACTTCTCCTGCTACCGCTGCTCGGACACCAAGAAGGCTCTCGCAGCCATTGACATGGACGCAGACGGCTCCGTGGATTGGAACGAGTTCGAGACCTACCTCAAGTGGGCCCTGCATCAGTATCCGAACATCGCGGACGTGGATGAGCTGTTGGACGTCACCTTCCAGAAGGGACTTATCCCGGCTATGCAGGATGAGTTCCTGAAAAAGAAATAAAGATGGTGTCATCTCTTACATGGGCGTCGCGAGGAGGACAAGGAAAGAAAAAAAGAAGATCAAAAAGAGGGAAACAAGGAAAAAAAAGGGGGCAAAATCATATTGTTGTTAATTTAATGGGTTGGGGAGGGAGGGGTGTCTCTGCCCACCCTAGAACAAATTATCAAACGGTTAAAACGATGAAAAATATAGGGATTTTTGGGGAAATGGGCTTTGCCCCTCTGGAAAAAATCCTGGCGATGCCCATGATCTCTAAGCGCACTCTTTCGTTTATTCTACCTCAATGTCAGGGTTTATTTCATAGGGTAATGTAAGGGATTGATTTTCAATGCAACACTTCGAATATTTATATTTTTTAGTGGTTTTTCCGTCGCGAGGAGGACAAGGAAAGAAAAAAGGAGATCAAAAAGAGGGAAACAAGGAAAAAAAGGGGCAAAATCATGTTGTTGTTAATTTAATGGGTTGGGGAGGGGTTTTTTTTTTGGGGGGGGGTACGGTTTCCAGAACTTTATCCTAAATTTCAGTGCACCGAGAAGCTTCAGTTAAGGCTGCTTAAACTCAAGCTGCAGTATTTTGACGCTCCTCCATTTTCTTATTTACTTTATTTTTTTATGTATTTATATATTTATGTATTTATTTTATTTTATTGTTTTTTTTTTGGGGGGGGGGGCTCTTTAAGTGGCCGTTATGGGCCTTTCTGGTTATTTGTGATGATAGATTAACAACACAAGGTAAAATCTTAGCTTTAAAGTTTTAGATGGAAACAGCTTAGCGATTTATGTAAGTTTATCGTTATTCTTGGATTAACAATTAGCATAGTTTTTATAATTGGTAACATGCATAGAATGGAAATGCTCTCTTCGGCTTTCAGTACGCAATGGATGTAAAAAGCACAGTACATGTAATCGAATGGCTGTATATATAGTTTTAGTTTTTACTTAGATCTGTATGAATTGATTGCCAAATTGATCGTTTAGATATCGATCATAGCTCTTTGTAAATGTTCCGTTTACAAAAAAACAGCAGCTGTAGGAGTCTCTTCTGGGTGATCCTTCCCTAAACAATTCCCTGGTTCCATTTCAAGAAAACCAGCAACTGTAGGAGAACCCTGGACAAAGACTTTGCCTCCTTTGTGCGATCCTTCGGGAGCTGTTTAGGTTTTGTTTTCTGTTGTTGTCCTTTAATTTGTATGTCTTGGTTTTTACTGTTTATCCCGAGAAAACAAGTATATGTACCATTTTCTATTTAAGTTGGTATAATGGCAATGCTCACTTCGGCTTCCAGGACGCAATGGATGTAAAAAAAGCAAAGTAATCAAATGGATGTATAATTCATTATGTTTTACTTAGATTTGTACTAATTGATTGCCAATTTGATAACAATGCGTTTAGACGTATTGATCCTAGCTCCTTGTAAATGTTCCGTTTAAAAAAAAACAGCAGCTGTAGGAGTCTCTTTTTGGGTGATCCTTCCCTAAACAATTCCCTGGTTTGGGGCTTTTTATTTTTTGCTTAGATTTGTATGAATTGATTGCCAAACTGATAACAATGCGTTTAGACTTATTGATTATAGCTCCTTGTAAATGTTCCGTTAAAAAAAAAGCAGCTGTAGGAGTCTCTTTTTGGTGATGCTTCCCTAAACAATTCCCTGGTTTGTAGGTTTGACAAAATTACGATTGAAAAATGGGTCACATTTGCCTGAGAAAGTTGAGGGATGTTATTTGTAAAATATCACTTTCGGCAGGTGATTTTGTTTTTGTGTTTAACAAATATTTAACCAATGTAATTGGCTAACCCACCAAAACTTAACATGATATGAATAGATGAAGGACAAGACAATAATTAAATTGTTTGTTTGAGAAATCCCAGTGATGTCAACTCACATGTCATTTTGCCCTGAATTTCTTTGATTTTTACACTGTTTTCAATGGGGCTTGAATCGGTGCGGTGTATCCTTCATTTGTTCAGTGGGCGGGACCTGGGGAGGGCAACATCATACAAAGGTGATAACAAGTTGCGCAAACAAATGCTTCCAAATCTTAAGGGACCTGATAGGCAATAAAGAAATAATAATGGTATAATTGTTGAGAAAAAAAACGGGGCGGGGGTCATGTGGTGGGTGAGAGGGGGGAGAAAGGAGCTGGAACTCAACTAACGCCCGTTGGGGGCGCCTTATAGCTGCATATATATGGCAGGCGGACACAGAGGGTCTTTTTGCAGGCTAGGTCCGTATCAAACTCAGACATTTGTTTCTCCCTAGTTAGGCCTACACAGTACATGCAAGTAGCAGTGGGAGAAATCAATGATTTCAAAATCCGGTTATCCAAATTTGTTTTATATCAAACCCAATAACTGTTATCCTATTTCATCTCGCAGTCTGACAGTCTTGCCAACAAAAAGTGACGAGTGAGGTGCCGCGTGTAATGCCCTCTCAATGATTGGGTATGCATATAGAGTGTACATGTAGCTTACAGGATTCAATAACCACCGGGCCTTGACAAAACACTCCAGAGTTAAAAAAAAAATGGTTGGGAACTCTCTGATAAGCCTTCCAATGGGCAGGCTATTCAAAAATAAAGAGACCGCTAGCAAGTGAATGCACAGTTAGAGATCAAGGAGCAAATTGGGGGATGTTCAAGTTGTTTTCTTGGGCTCTGTCGCAAAAAAAATAAAAAAATGGACGGCTTATTCTTTTTTTTAATGTAATTTTTAGAATATCCTGTCTCCAAAATCGAAACCGAATAGTGGAATTCAAACCGAATTTTAAAAAATCCGGATTTAAATCCCACTACAGTAGAGTCTCGTAAACTCGTTCGGACCTAGCCAAATTGTTTGTTATATAAATTGTGTATTAAGAGGAACATCAGTCCCATTCATTGTGCACATAAATGCACAGTCGGGACTATGGCTTTATGTTTGTTATAACCAGAATTTTGTATTAACAGAGTTTGTACAAACGAGATTCGACTGTATTTTCATCACCGTTGAGGGGAACTTGTGGATGTTGCTCTCTAATAGTCTAAACAGTTGAACTTCTTTCGATACTTTAATACTCTATTTTATACTCGTGTAGCCTAATGTCAGTCTATAACTTAGAATTATGTATACGCACTCTGTTTATTTAGAGTTTTTGGAGTGAAATTTATTAACATCAGCACTGACAGCACTCGTCAGTTAAATGTACACATCTTGTAATACAGTACAAAATTACAAAGCTGAATTTTCCACTGGCTTTAAACAAAAAAAATTATATATAATTGTGGACGGAATTTGTTATGTACATGGCTTTAGCACAACCGAACCTGTTTATAATGGACAGCTGTGGCGGCCGAGGAAAATGTGGCCAGAATAGACAGCTTTTCATAGCCTATAAATAACCAAGAAATATTGAAACTTGTTATTACAATTTCTGCCAGGTTTTGATAAGTCAATAGTTAGTCCTTGGTCTCCTGGGAATGGACATTGTACAAAGTTGGGGTAGTTTATTAAGTAGTTTGCTAGATTCCATCAAAAACAGAAAACTTGCCATCGTTAGCGGTGCTCAATTTTCTTCCAAAATTAGGGGACAAGTTAGAGCAAGAACTATTGTGAACCATAGTTCGATTAAGTTAGCCTGAACTGTCTAGTCGATGATGATTGGACTACTCTAGACAACTATTCAGGACTAGCCTACTACAGCTTGTCGCTCCATGTTTTATAGCTGGTTATCAATAGTAATTTCATAGCATAGTGCAGAGGAGACTAACTACATGTATCAGCAAAAATGGCGGAAAACAAAACTGTGAGTGCTAAATTTCATTTTCATTGCACAGTTTTTCCATGTTAGTTTACAATTACATGTATGTCACTTTTGTCACTGTACATTAATATTGGCGATTATGTAAGATGTCCTAAACTATACACAATCACTTTTATTTGTGTAAATAAAGAGAAACAACAAGTGTTAAATAATTGTGCGCCGCCATTTTCCGACGGTCATTGACAAGACAACAGTTTGACTAGAGTCGTTTGCACTTCAACTTTAGTGCGCATTGCGCTAAGTTCGTCACAAACCAACCACTAGTTAACCACTGGTCCTTGCTCGAAGTTGCCCAGGGCTGGCGGTATTTTGACAGGTCGGCTGTGCTTTCATTAAAAAAAACAATAACATATCATACAGTCGTATTTACAGTTGAAAAGAAACTGAAAAAGCTTATATAGAAATTGGCTTTCCGCTGGCATAGGTTTGATACTCGGTGTTGTACATGGAAGGAACGGAGAAGGTCTGCTTGGGACCAGATTTGGGGATGACCCAGGGCGTGTCGACGGGGCAAGAGAACAGCTCCCGGTTCTTGGGGTCCGAGGGAGTGACGTACGAGGTGGTCATGATGGACTTGATGCCGTTGTGGGGCACGCGGGGGAACTTCTCGGGCCAGCGGACCGGTTCCTTGATGGCAGTCTTGAAGACCATCTCGTCGCGCATCGGCGGCCGCTCGCGGGGGACGGAGTTCATTGGCAGCGGGCTGATGGAGAGACAAAAAAACAGAAAAGTTGTAAATACATGTATTCACATTAACCTGTGCTGAATGGTTCTGGAAAGTCAATGAACTCTGGTTTAATACCGGATTTGGGTTTTAATGTCTTGATCTAGCCAGTACCGATCGTGGGCAAGCATGGTCACGTTGCAGCGGTTGCAGAGGGCGCCAACAACAAGATGAATCAAATGCAATCGTTCGGAACTTTGGCACTTGGATATTCCACTCACAAAGAAATTACTCGCAAGTAGTCGAGTACTCACGAGTCGTTAACCAAATTTCCATAAAAGCAGAAGAATGACATATGTTAGTATGACGTGAAGTAACTTACAAGCAAATAGCGTGCAAGTCAAAACACATACTTCAGCACTGAGACATCCTTACTGTGCGATGTTTTGGGTCATTTTACTTGAAAGTTTTCTTTTTTGGGACGAATGGAATTCTAGGGAGAGTGAGGTGGAGGGAGTAATTCCCTGTTAGCAGGGGACGAATTAAGCCGTGAACCCTAATCCCTCGACTGCTACTCGCGAGTACCTGCTTCTACTCGTGCCAGGATGAGTACTCGAGTAGATGAAAAACCACTAGTAGAACTATAACTTAGGTAGCATAAACTACTCGCGAGTACTCGAGTAATTGAGTTAATTGCCCAGCAGTAATTCGGGCGATTCACAATGCAGTGCGCCACAAAGAGTTTGCCATGGAGAGTCCCTTTTTCAAGTTTACGGTCGACAAAACATGGCCCATTTGAATGAGTGTCAGTTGACAACTTGAGCTAATTTGATTGGGGCATAGCGTTCTGCCGCCTCAAAAAAAAAACACATTGATAAAAAGAAAGCAAAAGAGCAAACAGATACTCAAAGCATACCTATAGGAAACTACTGACTGGAAAAACGAACAATTTCAAATGTCCCACGCTGTGAATTTGTCGACCATCTCCCACAATGCACTGGGAAAAATGAACTCTTCGTGGCAAACTCTTGGTGGCGCACTGCGTTGTGAATCGCCCGAATTGGGACCATCTACATAAGCTGGACAAAATCCAAATCCAGTCCTGGACCAAGACTACTTTGACAACTGAAGGAGAACACTTAAACTCACTTGTGTTTGGTACCGTGACCCCAGGCCTGAGGGTAGTCCTCGCATCGCCAGTAGGTGGCAGCATCTTTCTTCGGGTAGCCTCCCAGCTCATGCCGGCTGAAGCGTTTGTGGGCTTGGTGGGAGGTGGGCACGTAGGGGTCTAGCAGCTGGAGGGCGCCGTCATCACGGACCAACGAGGGCTTGTACTTGGGCAAGTTGTCCTGGAGAGGCAAAACCAAAACTTGGAAATAATTCCTTTCTTTTGATAACATCATACACAGCTGCAAATCTGAGCCGAGTTGCAAAATTTCATAACTCATGTGCAAACGGACAAGTGTTCAATCTAGGAATCACAAGCAACTCCTTGGGCTGTTTACCGTACCTTGATACAGTGTGCTTGTATTTGGTAGGATAAATTACAAGAATAGCTACAAATAACTGACTAACAAAATTAGAAGCACTGTATGGCCTTCTGAGACACCAGTCCTTCTGATTTGAAAATCACAGGCATGTGCTTGTGAAAAAAGGCACACCTGGATTTTTCATAGCGTGTGTTTTTTCTAGGAGTGTGGTTTTCTAGGTGTGTGATCTGAGGTCCAGGGAAATTCAGGCATGCAATTATTCACACTTCTCGGGAAACTTTTAAGTGTGCGATGGTGTGGGGGTGTTATCACAGAGACACTGTCAAATTCTCTGAGTTTTTCCTGGTTTTTTTTTGTGCTTCTCTCCAAATGCCCTTCTCTCCAAAAACTCCTTTTCAAGGTTTTCCCGGATTGCCAGGGTGGCTGGGAACCCTATGTTTCATGTTAAAGATTTGGACCTTACCTTCATCGGCGCCGGCATGCTCTTGTGGTGGTCTATCAAGTCGGTGGTTTGCGGCTTCATGATGGTGTTGAAGTCGACGCCAGGCTGGGTTCGCGCTCCCTTGAAGTTCGCCTGGACCTCCGACTCCTGGTTGCCCATGGTCAGGGGCTTCCTCCACGGCCGATTTTGAAGCTGTGGGGATAAGAAGGCGAGGCATTTTTTTAATGAATTCTGCTTACCCTTTTTTTTTGGGGGGGGGGGAAATGGATCAGTTTAGTTGGTTTATTACTAAACGTGAAGAATTCAAATGCCAACCAAGTTAAGCCACTCCAAAATATTTTTTTTTAAATGAGAAAAAAAAAATCCATTGTCTGTAAACAACTTCGAATTCAAATGTTCAATTTTAAAACGTGGTTTAATGAAAACAATCAGTGTACATGTATAAAGAAATAGGCCGAGTGTCCTTTTAACTCCTCCCCCACCCCAAACATATGAAATGGATCCATCTTGCTTTGTTTTGCATCTGAACATACAATGTCAGTATTTTCCTTAATTACAATGTACTCAATTATGTAGTTTTTAATCACACAATAAAAACAAGATCAATACAAGTTTCTACTATATTGAATATATGAATTCTATTTTTATTTCAAATTAAAAATTATTTTCTCCTTAAAAAAATGTATTTTCCCCCTCCATTTCGATAATCCCCAAATGAAATATCCCCTAAAATAAATGTTTTTTTTTCTGCTTTCTATCCTTAAAACTTGTTTCCTTCCTTCAAATGTCCAGTCACAATTTGCAACTGAAACCTTGTTACTAAATGTTAGATGTATCTTGTTTTCTTTTTGCTTTTCATCCTGAATACCTTCGTGAATCCAAAATACTTCTACTCACTTTTTCCCGCATGTCTTTGTTGTAGTGAGCGTTCCAGTGACCCGGTGCCTTCTGGTGCTGCGGGTTGCCCAGTATCGCGTCATGGTGTTTATAATCGTGTGTCTCACCCGTTGTGGTCGTGTAGGGCTTGATGATCTCATCCTGTTTGGCCAACTCTGGAGGCAAGGGATTGTTGACTGTTGTCTGCAGACATAAAAGGGAATAAATATCATGGTTAAATTGGAGAAAATACAGCAAATTGACATCCTCAAAACTACCCTCTGTGCTAAATCATGAAGCATTTTAGTCCTTCAGTAAATAAAGCAGTGTAAATAAGAAAAAACTTTAACTACCTGCATACCCCCATATTGAATGGTCAGGAATTGAAAAATTATAATACTAAAAATTAATAGTATCATGATACTGTAAACATGCCAAACAACTGCATTTTCAGGATTTATGTGAGTGAAATATTATATACATGTAGCTGGAAAAAAACCCATAATAGTTTGTAATATGTTTACATGATACATGATACACATCAAAGAATTTACCCAGTGACGTTGATAAGAAACCTTTTCTGATCAACATCCTTTTTATGACTAGCTCTCCTTTACACAAAATTTAAACTTCATGATTGACATTGTTGGCTAAGCCTAAGTAAAAACCTGGCCCTGCCGATCGTTAAATTTCTAGGCCTAATTCTCTGAATGGTGGCTCTTTTCTCACAATTTTCTTCTTAGTGACATTTTATGGTGAGGGAAAGGCAGTAAAATCTCCCCCAGTCATGACAGTGATGCAAACTCACCTTGAAATCCGAAGCTGGAAAGTAATACTCTGGTCGGTAGTCGAGACCACGTCCCGAACTCGTCTTGTGCAAGTCAAATCTTCTCTCTGAAGGCATCTTTGTGAATTACCGAATTCGGCGAATACGTCTTTCGTTTCTCGCGTTGTCTAAACTTCTGTTGCACCAACTTAACAACACTAAAATTGCGGGAAATTAGTTCATTATGTGACAGAGCAGTATTAACGTTACTACATGTACTGTATTGCTTACAACATGTGCAATCAATGCTATCAAGCCGATCTCGTTAGTAACACAGCGTACGCCTACGTCTCCCGTATCATTATTTGTGTACACAGTACGTAAACAACAAAATCTTGGCAACGGGACAAAACAGAAAAGGGCGCCGCCAACAGTTGGTTGGTGTCAAGCGCGCTGTTGAGGGCGATATTTTAGTAAACTCTTGCACTTATTTCAGTGCACGGACAATAAATACCAATTCACAACGGGTTTCTTGTCAACTTCAATTCGGTTCCCTTTGATAATGTGATTAGTATTGGAACAACAGTTTTGTCGAATTTCTTGTATGGCACCTATAAAGCACCATTTCGACATGCTGTGAGAAGTAAGTTACGATTCGAATCGCATTTATTACTAAATGACAAAAATGTTTTGGCGGACAGCACATGCAGACGTCAAATTCGGGACCTGGCGGGCCGATTTCAGGGGGAGTCAACTTATTTTTCTGGGGAAAAGGAAAGTAATTAAGCCTAATATTGAAATTTGCTTACAATTACACTCTGCCTGCATATAGCGATACGATGACGTCACGTCTTTCCCGTGTTTGTATGAAATGTTTTGGTTATGGAGGGAACAAAAATCCGAAATATTTGACACTGAGTTATTTAATCAATCGAGTTACTCAAATAACCATAAAAAAAAACTAACATGGAATAATCTTTTTCAGTGACTTATGGTGCAAAATTTTCGCCCTCTCTATCGGCTGGTCTTGCTGGGACGTTTCTGATAAAAACAAAAAAAAGGAACTAATTCGTAGTCCTATGACTGAGGACCAGCCTCGTCCACAACCTCGCTTCCAATAGTAAGCCCTGGATATCAAATGTTCTTCCGACGGTATCCGGATTAGATACCGCAATTAGCAAAAAACTGGACTCGTGTATAACGTGTTTTCACGTCCACACCTTCTCAACAAGAATCCTTCACTTTTTAATTTGTTCATTGTATTAGAAATGTGATACTGCATGTTGACTGCAGATTGTGACATTTCAACTTTGAAAAACATCGTGTTTTTGCATCAAATTCACGCCATGTTCACTCCGCGACGAATTGATTGTGTTTTAACGCCAGACACCACATACAAAAAAAGCGCTGATGTTAAGCACAAGACGGCATCAGACTACATAAAAGCATGTTCAAACATTTTGCGCATGCTTACTGCTCGACAGTCGACAATCTGGGAACGAGGTTGTCTGAGGACAAACCTACTTATTGGTGTCATGTATTTGAAGCAAGCAACACGTCGAAGCTGTTAAAAAAAGAAAAAAAATAATTTAAAAAAGAAAATGCATACATTTGCTGATTGAATCGATATAGAGGGCGCTTCGAATACCGGAACATTGACCTTTTTTTGGTGTTCATGCATAAAACAGGCCAATGATACGATGATAGATGGTCTAGCACTTGCCAAAACAAAAGTGCAGTACATGTATAACTGACTGAAACAATGTTGCAAAGGTTAATATAATGTCACCATTTGCATCTGTTTCGTATAAATCAATATGATTCGCATGTTGAACCTGTTTCAATTTATCTACATCACAAATCCTTGTCGAGGTGTCAGCATTCAAGTGATTGTATCACAGTTAGACCTAAGTAAAGCTTTATTTAATTGGTCTAAATCTGAAATAAATTGTGCTGATAGCCTCATTAGCTGACAAGAAGCTTATTGATTACAACATAAAAGTTTTGTTCTCTTTATACCTGCAGCGCTAAAAAAAAATGTAGGCCTGTACCTGTTTGTTGTTTGTCAAAAACATGGTTTCTGTCGATTTGATTAATTTTGTTCGGGGAGCCTCAAAATTAAACAAGGAATTCGGAATTTGGACCGGTGCGAGGGAAAAATTCGGCTATCGATAATCGCTATAACGTCAATTAATCACGGCAGGTGACTCGTTGAAATGGAACATTGCGGAGCCGCAGGTGGGCCAGATTGATTCAATTGGTCGTTAAAATACGCCGGTGTTTCACAGCACTCGCCAGACAGATGAATTTGCTTTGCAGTCGTTTACAAGTTTTGGATGACACAATGCCTTAGCAGACGCGACAGTGCTTTGAAAACAGGTAAGATTCGCATGAACGCATGTAGTTAAATTTAACACTCCTCCTATATACATTCTACGCAAAGTTGTCATTTTAGTCAAAATCAAATTAATCAAGTGACTGTTTTTAACGGCTCCCAGCTTACAAAAAAAACACACCTAGGATCGACTGCCTGTAACTGTGTATGTAACTTGATACAGCCATGCTTTGACTTAAGCCAGCTGTGCCTACCACTTGCCTGCTTTTGTCTGGTGATTGAATTTGACTAGTCACAGCTGCTTGCTTGATGATGTGATCTGACTAGACTGTTGATGACTAGCCTGTGTAAAAGGCATGGCAGGGGAAGAGGATTGATTTGTTTGACTGTCTGTGACTATTGAGACAGCGGGAGGGTTGGCAAGGCATGATGAACCCCACAAAGCAAGAACAACGTTATTGAACATGTTTGGTCACTTTGACAGAAAGGAAAATGCTGGTGTTTGGATTTTTCTTTTGGCCACACTTACGGCGGCCAGCTTCCCGAGAATATGTCTATACTTTTGCATCAGCAAGGGTTCAAGTGATGGAGTGATAGGTCCGTCTTGTTTTTAAGTATCCAGAAGAGAATTGTTAATGCAACACATTTTGCATTCGGGTTTAAGTCGACAATCTGCACTTCAGGAAATCTAGAATTTCGACAGTGACATTTCTAAATTCATCGAATTGACAGTTTTGACGCCATGCTCGCCGGACAAAATATCTTCATAATGTAAAATACCACCACCATCTTTGAAGTAAGATTTTGGATGCCAGTTTTGTAGATTAAGCAACTAAGTAGGCCTACATGGTATGCCTGTGGATTTTCTTGAAACAATCATATGCCTAATACAATACACACTTGTCTTAACGATTACACAATTCCTTACTTTTTGGCACTAACGGATTTTTTTTGCAAAAGGGAAGTGCTATCTTATTGTGCTGAACCAAAATCTAATGGCAAATATGATTCCATAATATCATTGTTTGAGCAAGTATTGGTACTTCTGTGTCCCTGATCCCGGCGCCCTGGTCGGAGTGTTTGTTATCGATCCCTGGAGTGCCGACACTTGGCGTTTATCTGTACAACGTGTTCAGGCAATCAACAACCAAAAGACCAGCCAAAAAGTTGAGATTGGTACAACGTGTAGTAGGATATTGTGTGGTCAAGTATCACTATAGGGTGAGATATGGGGATAATTTAGGTGTCTACTCCAGGGTTGTTCTTTGATAAGGGAAATGGAACAAGTATATCATAAATATTGGAACGAGAGGAAGGCATATTTACATTTCAAACTGATATTTATAGGTATCATTCAAATTATGCAAGTCATGGATAGGATCACATTATTCTTTCCTCAAGTGTTAGGTCATACCTGTTTTATTGGATGATTTTGTTCCCATAAAAAACAATGTGCATTTTTTTTAATGCGCATGCGCACTCGGGAATGACAAGCGTTATGTCACCAAATACACCAACACTGGAAGCAATTAGGGAGAAAATTATGGGATAAGGCCAAGCTTTGTGCACTTGATGCTTTTCTAGACTTTCTCACAATTTTCGAGATTCTTGGAAGAAGACGATTTACTGTGCTGTTGAAAACGTCGTTGCGCTGCTATAAGAACACAAGTTTCTGCAAACAGAGCCTCCATCTATTTCAAGAAGTATGCACCGCAAAGAACACGCTAAGTTCGATCACTGAGAAAGAATTTAATTTTAAAAAACCACTCAAAAATGACACAGGCAACAGTAGTCATCTTCAGGCGCGCGAACGAGCAATATGAAGCTCAAATTGAAATGTCGCTCTATGTCACAAACTGAACTTAGAAACCTGACGATTTAGAGAGAAAAGTATCTAAAGTGTTGGACTGACGAATTTGGAAAAAGGCATTTCTGGAGATGCCGTCTCGTCCAAAGTTTCAACCACTGTCGAATTGGGTGAGTGTACCCTATTTGGGGAGAAGTGGGCTACACTTCACGTTGTCAGGGAACCGCCAACATTATGAAAGGCTGCATGGATGGCTCTGTTTAATATGTGTTCGGGCTGGACAGCCCAAAATTAGTGGAGCGCCGGAACGGCAATCCGGAGGTCGTAGGTTCAACCCCTTTTTTTATGTTATGTTACTAACTAGTAAATTCAGCAACACCATAAGTCTGAGTTATCGATTAATAGGTTAAACGATCGATCCAACCGGCCAATCACAGGATCGATAGATAGGCTTGTTGTAATCGATGGCCTGTTGACACAGAAATAAAGTCCACATTTGCATTCCACTCGAAGGCTAAATGGGGGTTATGATGTGTCGTGTTTGCATACAGCGTGGGCCATCCATGAACCTTGTCATTTGCAAACACAGCACTCCAACTCCAAACATTGTTACAATGCGAGATTGTTGCTGATGCATGGGAACAAGTTTGGCAAGAAACGCCAATAGCAAACGCCAATAGCAAGCGCCAATAGCAAACTCGCGAGCAAGGCTGTAATATAGCCCCAGTACAAATAATGTAACACACGTCATTGTAAGACTATAATTAGATTTGCCTCGTTGTTACTTGTAAAAAAAGAATCAGTACAAATATTACGTTCTTTTTCCTTTTGCGTGTTTTTTTTTGCCGGTCAGAACAAACCATCCAGGTTAGGTGGTAATTTTAGAGGGAATTATGGATAAGACAAACCATCTTGGCTAGGAGGATATTTTTTAGAGGGAATTATGGATAAGACAAACCATATTGGTTTGGACTAGGATTTGCCTAGAGGGAGTTACGGAGGAGACAAACCATCTTGGTTAGGAGGATTTTTTAAGAGGGAATTATGAGAAGACAAACCACACATGATGTCTACCAAACCAGGTCATCTCATCTCCGACGGCGAGAAAACAAGACTCTGATAGTATATCGGCCCCCTCCTGCTGGAAAATCCAATTATTCAAAACGTTCATGGCTTAGAGAATATTTTTTTTTAGAAGGGATAATATTCTCTTAGCAACGATGGTTAGTCT